GGCTGCTGCAGCGGGGGCAGACGGGGGCTCTGCCTTTAAAAATTGGGTGGGAAGTGGCAGAACCGCAGCAATAGGCAAACCGCCTGTGTGAATGTTTGCTTTTAAAAAGAGAAAACTGTGCTTAAGATGAATGGAAGATCTTTACCTGGAGGCAGGCTCGGTTCTGATGTGAAGGGCAAAGCAAAAGGATTCACTGATTCTGCTAATTGCTTTGGCTACTTTCTAGATTCTGGATGTAGCCAATATGAATGACTGGCAAATGAAGAGCCCTCTCGACTGGGAAACGTACGTGAATAAAATGGTGAAAGTTGCTGCAATCGAGAAATGTGAATACGAAGGCTGGGTGTTAACAGTTGATCCAGTTTCTGCCAGGTAAGAAACTTCAGAGCTTTTATTTCTGTAAAGCTAAGAGAAAACACATTTTTCTGGAAAATAAAAGATCCTAAGACTTTAGCAAACCTCTCTGAAGCAAAATCTGCATGTTGGGGCGGTGTGTCTTGTTTTTGTAATTGGCAGTATTGTAGCGGATGAGGCGTTCACCTAAATCCACTTTAATCTCATTTAAAGGACTGATAAGTTTGGGGAATGGGTAATATCTGGATTCATGCTGACTTTATTGTGGACATGAGGTTAGTAATTTAAATGATATGCATGTGTGTAGGACTCCTTTTAGTAATACACCAAGCCCTGCTTCACACAGAGAGCAGGACTGCAGGAATGTATTCAGTGTTTTTTGGTGTTGAAATCCTTATTCCCCTGTCCAGAGCTCTCAGAGCAGTGCCCAGCTTTCCCCTCCAGTCGGACACCGGTGACGGTGTAGGGGCTGCTTTGGAGAGGAAGCAGGGAACATCAGCATGGGCATTTGGTGTCTCTGGTATCTCAAGTGAGCAACTCGAAAACAAGGTCTGAAAGGCCGAACACATCAGGGTATAGGCAGAAATTTGGCTCCTTGCTGCTAGAGCTTTTTCATACATTTTTGGTTGGAATCGTGTCCCACGTGAGCTCAAGATGATGGAAGCTAGAAACTAAAATATGTAGCCTCTGATGTGTTTCAGAAGAACTGGTTGTTGCTTCAATGCTGGAGTAGCTCCAATACATCAATCTTCTCTTGGAGCTGCTTATTAGGAAAGGTGCGTGCAGCTGTGATTCTGGGGATGGCCCAGGCTAAAAGCAAGGCACATGCCATTGCACATTTCCCAAAAGGTCAATACTTCCACTAATGATGGCAACAGTAGAATAGCAAGTGCTGGCATCAAATTCTGGAATTTTTTCTTCCCACAAGACAAAGAAAATGGTTTCTGATCCTCTTTGTTGATACATGTGGAAGAGATCCTAGAAATAGAATAAGTTTCCTTCCTACCTGTATTTTAGGACTCCTGGAATTTAAATGGCATTGGGAAAAGAGCAGGCTGCTACATGAGCCTGAACCTGCTGTTCCCATTGTAATACTGAAGTTTTAAAACTATAATTTTCAGTTAAGGAGCTAGCAACAATCGTTTTAAAGAAAATCTATTATTCTTTTAGTAATGTTCAATAATTAAATATAAATAATTTGTCATTAAGAGGGTCATTAGCTGCCACCATTGCCTTCAGCATTTGTGGTGCTGAACGTATGAAGGTATTACTGGGTTTGAATTTTGGAAGACAAGGTTCTTCAGCAAGGTTGCAAATCCTGCACAAAAATATTTAGATTCCCAGCTCTGATTTTAATGTACACTTTTTCTTTTAAAGTAACATTCTGCTTGATAGTATCTAGAGTTATTTCAAATTGAAGGCCAGAAGTTACCTGCCGAGCCCTGCATTTTCAGTATTCTAAGGGTATAGCATCAGGGTTTTCAAGAAAAATGCTGGGTACTCAATACTGCCTAAATACCTGCCTTACACTGATGCTAATGAGCACTCATCTCCAAGAATCTTGGCCTGTGTTTCTCAGTGATTCATAGATCCTTCTTTCCTTGACAGCATTGTCCTTGCAACATTCCTCGAGAACGAGAAAGTGTCCATATCAGTTGTCTTGGGCCATGCTGTCCAGGACGTCGAAATACTGAAAGAAGGGGATGAGGAAATGAGGCAACGTCTTTCCTGTATATTTGAGCCTGAAGAAAGCAAAGCCTACAGCCCAGAGGAACTAGAAAAGAGGAAAAACGACTTGAAGTCTTGGCTAGAAAGAAACCACATCCCCGTAACAGAGCAAGGTGACTCGGGAAGAACGCTGTGCGTGGTGGGGGTGCTGACGATTGACCCCCCGTACGGCCCAGAGGACTGCAGCAGCTCCAACGAGATTATTCTGTCTCGGGTTCAAGGCTTGATACAGGGCTACCTTGAAAAACAAGTGACAGCTGCTGATTAAAGCAACTGTCTTTAAGAATGGGTCTACTGTGAGAAATAATTTTGCATAAAACCAAATTCCAATTAAATTTAATATTTATTAAATTAACAAAAAGCAAGCAAACAGCGCTGGATGCACCGGGAGTCTCTGCTCAACCAAGACGCGCACACATACAATCCCTGTATTCGGCTTTTATTGTCCCGGTTCATACATAGTCATTAACAGGTGGGTCCATGTAAATTAATTCCAAAAAAATAGGTCTTCTTTGCAGTGTGTTCTTTTCACCTTTTGGGGTCGTCTTCGCTCCCACCTGGTGGTCGTGGAATGCAGTCAACAATCCCCCCTTGGCGCCTGGTTTTAATTACTTGGAGCTCCACGCATGCGCTCCACAAACCCCCCCTTCGTTTAACATTAAGT